TTGCCGGGTGGCAGGTGCAGCAGGGGCTGCAGTGCTGGTGGCCGTGGTGATGCTGCAGCTCAGCAGGGAATGGCCCGGCCGTGGCTACAGGGCTCCAGCTGCAGCACAGCTGTTTAAATACCACCCGGCTTTTGGCATTGCCTGGGAGACTTCCCCTGCCTGCTTGCTCTCTCATTCTCTCCTTGTGCTGAGCTGTCATGCAAAAATTTACTACCTAAAGGTCTCGGTGCCCTGCTTGCAACCAGCAACGCCCACAGGCGACCGCGGTGTCTGGCAGTCTCGGCTGGTGGCCGGGCACAGAGCCGGCAAGCTGCAGCCAGGCAGCCATGGTCAGTGGCTGGCCCTCAACCCCCGGGGCTGTGGAATAGCGTCAGATTAGCTTAGAAACTGTTGATTGGCAAAAAGAGAAGTGTTTTGTAAGTGCTTTCTTCTGGAGTTTGTGGTAGTCATGTTTGCTTTGCGTTTCTAACCATTGTTAGGTGCTGGTCTGTTGTCCTCTTTCTCCTCTCCTGATGTTTTTATTGAAACATGAGATTTTTTTTCACTGCAAATCTCGCCTTTCAGTGCTCTTAAGTTGAAAAACAAAACAAACAAGGACTGGCAACAGTGACCTGGTCCAGGATCCTGTTGGCAGGGTAACAGCTCAGTCCCAGTGGCTCTATGCAGAAATGAGGCTGTTCCCTGACCCTGCTGGCAGCGGGCTCAGATGCTGTGGAAACCCTCCTCTCTTCTTCAGTCTTGTTTGCTGGTGAGTTTGTAGCTGGTCTGTGCTTCTTTCAGCTGGAGGTAATTCAGTTCCTCTACCTGGCTTCTGTTTGAAAACAGCTCCCGTGGCCTCTCTGCTGCCATCTGCCTGGTGGAGTGCTGATTTTAGATAGAAAAATTCTTGATAAAACCTTGAGATTTGGGAATATAGTGGAGGTTTTTGTTGGGTCCATGCGCTGGAAGAATATAGGATGACCACGAGTGAGCTCTGCCAGTGGGCAAGGTGGTCAGTGCAGCTGGCTTGGGTTTGAGTATTTTGGATGTGTGTGGTGAGGCAAGGTGAAAACCTCCCAGTTTGGGGTCTGGAGAGGAAGAAAGTTAGGGCTTGTCTGTCAGGCTGCTGGAAAGCCACGTCGAACAAGGATGCCACATGAGAAGACAGCTCGTTCCCACCTTCCTCGACCCACACCTGGGTTTGTCCTGATGGAGGACACGGGTGGCCTCCAAGCTGCTCACTTTAAGATTGCTTTGCTAACCAGCTCTGGTTTGGGGATCTGAAGCAGCACATGGTGACCAGAGAGCCGTGAGAAACAGGCTCAGGTCCCCAGCCTGCCCATGACATTGTCCCCGTCCTCCACCACGCTGGCCAGGCAGATCATGTGGCCACAAGTGACAGCATTTCCAGGCGGTGGAGGTGCCATCGGGTCCCTGGGCTGCACTGGGCTCCGTCCTACCCACCAGCAGATCTGCTCTGGGAGTTTTCCCCATCCCGTAGCAGGCAGCTGGCGGGATTTTCGTACTGGCTGGGACGATGCTGCCCAGCACCGGGACCCGCAGGCACAGAAACTGCTCCAGTTCTTCGGCAGCTTCCTCTCAGCTGCTGTGGGCTCCAGAAATAGCCCCGTGCTGCAGCCAGGCAGCTCGCAGCACCACCTCCTGCAGCTGCTTCGGCTGGGGGGTCACAGGGGATGGGGTCTTGACAGCACCCAAAGAGGGGGACAGCAAGACCTACTGACAGATGCATCTCCTCAAAGCAGGCTGCTGCTGAGGCTGTGCCTAATTACCTGCCACCAAGGTGAGCGTTAATTGCTTCTCCAGTTGCGGCTGCTGCCAGGTGACGGTTGTCATCTGGAAAGTCCCTGCCACTCCCTGGCAGCCAGGTCATCTAAACCGGTGATCAGCCCACATTGCTCGTGGCAGGAGCACGTTAGTCTGAGGTTGAGACAGTTTTGGGTGCAGGCTGCCCCTCCCTTCCCCTTTCACAATGCTCCTTCTCAGCCCCCTCCTGCTCACGGACATCAGCTGCCCTGGCTGGCTGTGAGAGCACTTGGGGTGCCCATGGGTGCCCTAGCTCCAGCTGGCATTACCTCCCAGGGCCGTCACAGCTGCTGCACTGCTCCACTTTATAACCAACTGGCATCAGCGTGGAGGGGGGTATTTTTGATATGATGCTGCAGTTCACAGCAGCTGCTTGTTCATCCCCAGGAGACAGGTGAGATCTGGAGCCAGGATGCAACCATCCCCTTGCCAGACCTTGGCAAGGGGAAGCAAGGAATTAAAAAAGCAAATAGTGCACTGCGTGCGGGTGTTTTCTCTCCTCATACTTTGCTCCTGGCCCAGTGCGTGCCTGGCTGTTCCCTGCACCCCCATTTGGGAAGCCGTGCCCTTGGCAGCTGGTTTTACTGGCTGAGCAAGAGTACACAGCAGGTCCCTGCCTGGCTCCTGGGGCTCATCCCCCCCCTGGTGCTCCACCCCAGCCACCAGCTGCAGCTTTTGGAGCTGCAGACATGGCCCCTCCCCAAAGAGCCCCCCACAACCCTTTCTGCCCTCAACCCTGCCCCCCAAATATCCTGCGGTGAGCTGGTGACCATGCCCAGGTCCACGCTGGCATGCACGGATGCTCCTGGGGGTGCTTTCCAGCCCTCCT